GACGAAAGTGGTGTATTTCAACAAGATGATGCGGCGATGCGAGGGCTAGGTGAATCAGGTTGGAAGATATACGATCAAGATCACTGCGGTAAGGCGGTTGGATACAGAATAACAAGTTGCGTGTGCTAACATATTCTGTATTGCAAATGGTACAGCTGATCTGAGCCTGGGCGGAGCTGACCTCTACACGGGCAGATGGGGAATCACGAAATCTACTGCAGCGTTTGCAAACTGACCGCTCGGTATGCTGTTTCATTTCTTGCCCAAAACTCTGTGGAAGAAAATCGCGGCAGAGTCAGAGGCGTACCGGAAGCAGTGTATTCCAGCAATCGCGGAGAAGACACGTGAGCGCCAACTCGCTGCGCTAGCCAGGGACCCCAAAAAAACTGTGGATGATTTGAACGCCATTGTGGACAAGCTTGAAAGGCACAAACCCATCCGAGAACACGAGATACTACACGTACTGGGCTTGCTTGTGGCGCGCACCCTATGCGGACACACCGATGATTTGGCAAAGCACTGGACCGTTAGCGAAGATGGTGCTGTACCTCGCGGCACGTTCGGAAGGTACACGAAGCGCGAAAGGTTCAGGACAATAACTTGGTTCCTGCACTTTACGAGCACCGGCAGCGAAGGAGGAACCACCGACAAGGCGTTCAAGATTTGCTCCGTGTTACAAGTGATCGAAAAGACGTTCCGTCGGGGGTTCCAGCTTGGCCCTCGCGTGAGCTTCGATGAGGGAACGATCTCAAATCGGAGCCAGTACAACCCCATACGGGTGTACAACAAGGAGAAGCCGCACAAGTATGGAACCAAATATTACATGACCTGCTGTGCTGCCACGGGATACTGTGCAAGGTATGTGGTGAATTCGGTATTCGACAGAATACAACGTTCTATATTCTGTCCTATTCTGTATAAACTCCGTATCTGACAGAGCAAGCTAACCATACTTTTTTGCTGTTCTGTATACGACAGAGTTGAAGTGTATCTTGGAGCCGAGCCTGACAAGAAGAAAAGTGAAGGGGCTTCCCAAAGGACAGTCATCAGGAACATCTTCAAGACCTTCGAAAGTTTGCCAAAACAGTGGTTGATCGTCGCAGATAATTTCTACATCTCATCTGCTCTGGCGCTTGCACTGCTACCCATGGGACTTTACTACGTGGGAACTCAGCGCGCGGATCGACTGGGCTGGCCAAAAGCACTGATGTTCAAGCAGAAGCGCCGGCCACAGTACATGCCACGCGGAGCCTATCGAATTGCCCACGGTAAGGAGTATCCGGCGCTAGCCGCTACGGCGTGGATGGACTCAGCTCCGGTCCACATGATAGCAACAGGATGTTCTACGGTGCTGACGCATGTGGCCAGGAAGGACAAACGTACGGGACTATCACGCAGGTGCAGTGCCCTCAGCTGGCTGCAGATTATCATTCGGGTATGGGTGGGTGTGTGGGTGGGGGGGGGGGGGGGGACACCAACGATCAGATTCGGCTCCAGCGCTACAAAAAATATTATCGTCAGCTATTTCTGGCATTCGTTGACATGGCAACCGTCAACGGATTTATCCTGCACCGGATCGTCATGAAGCAGAAAAGGGAAAGAGTCCCTAGCCATGCAGAGTACATGCGCCGACTTCAAGTGGAGTTACTGGCAGTTACCGCTGTGGGCTTTCGATCGAATCGCTATTGCGAAGACCTGGTCAACACC